CATATTGAATCACGTTCACTATGGTGGGGTCCACATACTGAATCATGTTCACGACGGTGAGGTCCATATATTGAATCATGTTCACGACGGTGAGGTCCATATATTGAATCATGTTCACGACGGTGAGGTCCAACCCCACCATAGTGAACGTGATTCAATATGTTGACCCCACCATAGTGGAATTGATTCAATATACCACATATTGAATCATGTTGAGTAACCTTATGATTTTGCACTGTTACAACCAACAGAACAGGCCTAGGAAAGTTAGGTGGAGCCACTCTTTTTTTTTATAAGCTCCTCCAGTAGTTCAGCATTGAGTCTGAAGTCTTATAAAGCTAAAACCCGGGTTTCAATACCCGTGGTAGGCATAACACAGATAGCCCATTGTATAGCTTGCTCTTAACAACAAACAAAACTCTTTTTCTATATCAGATACATAAGGGACGCTATTAGTAATTGTGGAATAACTGCAGTGTTAAAGATATTTTTGCTTAAATTTTAAACGGGACTTGTACGTTGTTATAGATCACGCAACCGACAAAACATAAACCACAAGTAACTGCGTGCCTAAATAGTTTTTTCTAAAAATGTGTTTTAAAAGTCAATAGGGTCTATATGGACTCCCATCGATAATTTCGTGGTTAAAGAGGTTTGTATAATAGCTTTCTACAGTGCATCTTAAAGTCAATAGGGTCTATATGGACTCCCATCGATAATTTCGTGGTTAAAGAGGTTTGTATAATAGCTTTCCACAGTGCATCTAAGTCAATAGGGTCTATATGGACTCCCATTGATAATTTCATGGTTAAATAGGTTTGTATAATAGCTTTCCACAGTGCATCTAAGTCAATAGGGTCTATATGGACTCCCATCGATAATTTCATGGTTAAAGAGGTTTGTATAATAGCTTTCCACAGTGCGTCTAAGTCAATAGAGTCTATATAGACTCCCATCGATAATGTCATGGTTAAAAAGGTTTGTATAATAGCTTTCCACAGTGCATCTTAAAGTCAAAACTTGAAGTGTTTGCTTGATTGTTTGTTTAAAGTTAAGCACAAAGCAACACAATGGGCTTTTTTGGAGGGGGCTCTCCCACTACGGGTATCGAAACCGGGTTTCTAGCTTTGTAAGTCCACAGACATACCGCTGTACCACTGGCGGGCAACTTGAAGTGTAAGCTATCCAAAGTTGCACTGTTACTTAGAGTCATGGTGGTCACGTTGGGATTACGGCTAAAAATATTAATGACAGTGAGTGCATTCTAGTCATTACATGTTCTGTTTTTCTTGTGTACTGATTTATGATGTTGTATACTTTTTGATTGCCTGGCCTAGAGATAAACGTGTACAGCCTATAAATCCAAGGGTTGACTGTTCACGTCTCATTGTCGCAAAATAGGGCTCTGCAATTTGGAGTAATGGGTGTTCTATGTGGTATGTTTAGTTGAAACTGATTACTTCAAACATCATTAGATAGGTCCACTATAGATAGACAGGATATATTAGGAAGCGATACTGAGTTTAGTTAAACTGTATTTGAGCAAAGAAATGTAATACACAATGAAAACAGCCTTTATTAATCAATTACCATAGGTAGCTTTATCTGTTGCTCCATCCTCGGTAGTCTCCGGGCTTGTTCGCAGTTGTTGTTTTTTTACATGTGATGTCTTGAAGGTTGACATGGTAGAGGCCTCTCGCTTTGTCTCCATAGGCTGGATGGTAGTCAGTTCAACCATCGATGTCGATGCCTCTTCAATTATCATGTAAACCTTTGGTAACGGTAATGGAGACAATCCACGAGCTGGCTGGCTCACATGCATCACTGTAGTAGTGAAGGTGTTGGACCTCGAAGTCAGGGCCTCAGTGGTGGCTTGCATCATTTGGAGAATCATTCTACTGTGCTCCTCCCAGAGCCTGGTCGACCCTCAAAAGGATCCAATCTGCAGTAAGGTTTATTTTGGCTTGGGTATATAACACTGACAACAAAAAATATGCTACTAGAGAAAAGTCAAGTGATTCGGAGAAATTTACGTAATTTGATGGTGCTGATTTTAAACATGTAATCAGAATTTGTCCATCTCTTCTAGATTTTGAGTTATTGTAATATCTCAATATTCTATCAGTATTATGTGAAATACCATGCATTCAACTCAGTACAATAGATTTATGCTGTGAAATTAAGCTTACTTGACCAGTTTTTATGGGTAAAAGGCAAACATTTGGATAAATTCAAACGTTGACTGTAGTGTATTGGTGTAAAATTCCAAATATATTGTTCATATTTGTTAGTTGTTCTTGATAGAATTGTAGCAAATTACACCATTGTTGCTTCATTCCCACGCTCACCTGCTCTGCCATGGAATCACGAATGGAATCACGAAACACTCACATGCTCAGTTTGCTAGAACATTTGAGAGGTTCCTCAACTGAGCATAAAAGTGGCGGGGTCAGTTGCCACTTATTCACTCAGTTGGTCACTTCGCCTCTCTCCGCGCACAGTCAAAACAAAGTCCGATCTTCTTCTTCGAATTATACCCGCGAAAAAATCAAATCCTGGAAAACTTAATTTTTTAAAACCTTTTAAACTTTTGTTCTATAAACATAAATTCTTTAGAAAATCATTTGAAATGCTGGCTACTTCTAGTTCAAATAAAGTTCGAAAGTGCAAAAATCACCCAAACAGTTTCTGCTACATTTGTGGAAAATATATTACAGTTTCACGAAGAAAAAACATCACACACAAGGTAAAGGTAGCTTACTACCATTATTTTTGGTGTAAAATTGGTGACCAAAAAAAAAACATTCGGCTCCATATGTGTGTTGTACATTTTGCTCACCTGGCTTGATGAAGTGGCTGAATAAGAAGAGAGGATTTCTATATCGGAATATTTATCAATATTTGGGTATGTGTCAGAGTGTCACTAGGATGATTCAGGATAAACCTTCACGAAGCTGACAAGAACTGTAAAGAATACACATCAAGTTGTTAGCCAGTTGGCTACTCTTGTAGGCATTAGATAATATACAATTGATCCTTGTAAAATTTTCACCGAGTGAGATTCTTTGGAGGGATCGTCAAAAAGTCGCCTGAAGAATGTGAGAATAGAAGTATGCATCACTAGAACAACTCCCATTTTGACAAAAATAACCTATTTTAATACCACTAAGAATGAAACTTTCGCAAATCGCAAGGATTTACAAACTAGTTATTTCTATATAAAAAACAACAACTCTTATTTATATTTTTAGAAAGGTCGTTCGTTGATCATAAATCATAAACGAACTACATTGAAAGTTAGAATCAGTAAAAGTGCAAGGTTAGATTTACATTAATTGAAGGACGTGAAATGTTGCAACGTTAAGGTCCCCAGGAAAAGAAGTGACATTTTACGACTTTACAGTCATCAGAGAACGTCTTAAGGTATTACAGCTTTACGGTCCTCAGGAAAACAGGTGACATTTTACGACTTTACAGTCATCAGAGAACGTTTTAATGTATTACAGCTTTACGGTCCTCAGGAAAACAGGTGACATTTTACGATTTACAGTCATCAGAGAACGTCTTAAGGTATTACAGCTTTACGGTCCTCAGAAAAAGAAGTGACATTTTACGACTTTACAGTCATCAGAGAACGTCTTAAGGTATTACAGCTTTACGGTCCTCAGGAAAACAGGTGACATTTTACGACTTTACAGTCATCAGAGAACGTCTTAAGGTATTACAGCTTTACGGTCCTCAGAAAAAGAAGTGACATTTTACGACTTTACAGTCATCAGAGAACGTCTTAAGGTATTACAGCTTTACGGTCCTCAGGAAAACAGGTGACATTTTACGACTTTACAGTCATCAGAAAACGTTTTAATGTATTACAGTTTTACGGTCCTCAGGAAAACAGGTGACATTGTACAATGTGACAGTTATCAGACAAAGTGGTAATTCTTACAACGTTATAGTTGCCAGGGAAAGTCTTAATGAATTATAACGTTTCACTTATGAAGGAAAGTCGTAATATGTATTACAACGTTACAGTAACATAGAAGTCGTGACATTTTACAAATTAGTTATTACAAAATTCCAAAAGTAGCAACTTCGTTAAGAAAAGTCGTAATATATTACAGTGTTATGGTCTTCAAGAAAATAATATAAATATTCCAAACTTACGACAAATTCTACATCGTTTTAATATGATTTTATACCCATTGTTTACAGATTATTTTTAATAACCTTAGAGTTACTCAGCTTATGAGTAATGTTTTTATTTTGAAATTTAAAATGTATATTTTGATCTCAAACTTGAAATTATTTACTCATTTTGTTGTTGTTGTTTAAAACATCCATAAACTGTCCGGATACATTATTATCGTATTTATTTTATCTCCACAGGATATGCAGAAAAAGTATGTTGGCCTAATGGTACGTGGTTTGTTAATAACCAGAACAATGAGTGGACAGACTATTTGAAGTGTGGGATCGTGAAGGTATGATATTTAAATAACTGTAATATTCTATTCAATATTCGAAACAAGTGAGAAATTTACGGCGTGGTACGAAAGATATCTAGGTTGGCCTTTGCTGTAAGTACGGGGGTGAGAAAGATACCTAGGCTGATCTTTGCTGTAAGTACGGGGGTAAGAAAGATACCTAGACTTGCCTTTGCTGTAAGTACGGGGATAAGAAAGATACCTAGGTTGGCCTTTGCTGTACGTATGGGTGTAAAAAAGATAGCTAGGCTGGTATTTGCTGTAAGTATGGGGGTAAGAAATATATCTAGGTTGTCCTTTACTGTAAGTACGGGGGTGAGAAAGATACCTAGGCTGGTCTTTGCTGTACTTGCGGGGTAAGAAAGATGTCTAGGTTGGACTTTGCTGTAAGTACGGGGGTAAGAAAAATACCCAGGCTGGCCTTTGCTGTAAGTACGGGGTAAGAAAGATACCTAGACTTGCCTTTGCTGTAAGTACGGGGGTAAGAAAGATACCTAGGCTGGGCTTTGCTGTAAGTACGGGGGTAAGAAAGATACGTAGACTTGTCTTTACTCTAATAATAGAGAGAGAAAAGGTTATTGAAGTGGCATTAATTTTTTACCTATGATTTAAGGTTTAACTTCAATGCCGAAAAGTTAATTAATTAAAACACATTGACAAAGTTAATAGATTGGGATCAACTTAGGGAACTTAACTAACCCTTAGTGTTTACAAGTTTAAGTTACTTGTCATTTCAAACTGTATAAAAACTCATTTAAAATATTTTCAATAATGCGAAACAAGATTTGCTGTGATATTCATTTGTGTATGAAGCTTTGCATTGAAATATTTATTTGTTTTTGAATAATGGTCTATAATATATTTGTAACACTCTTTTATGACATTTTGTCAGTCTTTAGAGAATTTAATAAAAATAGGATTGATATCCCTAAAAATATTAAGTCTTTAAAACAGATAATGAATGTTATTAAGTATTAACTTAATATTGTAAATAGTGTCTGAATATGAATAGAGTTCTGTGGTAATTTTCGGCTAAATATCGAGAACCATAAACAACATAGTATAAAATATACAGACGAAAAATTAATTATATTTGTCACACATCTTATCATTCGCGGTTAAGGAACTATATTCCACACTTGAACGCAAGGTAAGATAGTTTTCGTTTCATGTTCCTTAAACGTAGCACAATTTCAAATCAAACATGAAACCGACTATATAAGTATGAGAAGCAAAAACTTCTGAGGAATTATTTTAAATTTCAGAACCTTAAAGTATATTAAATGTACGCGACTCTTTCTCGCGCTTCACGTGGTTAATGACTGGGGTTTAACACAAGAGGGCTAATTCAGTACCATAGTAGTTAAATATTAATGACCTCATGATGTTATGCTTTTACTGTCAATTCTTCTCATTTGTACGAAAAATCTCCAAGGTTTCAACCCTATAATCTTCAGTTTAACAAAGTAGATGAAAGATGCACGAATCTTTTACATGATTGACTGTTTTTATTGGCTGTTTTCACATTCACGCAGGCAAATCTTTGAAATCCAATTCAATTCCTCATAACACGTACTGATTAAATTTTTATTCTGCTTAGGTTAGTCATAACCACTTTAGCTTCATTCTGTTTTTATGTGTCTATGGTGTATTTGTTTGACCCATTGAACTTTAGCGTATATATATGTAAATTAATATACATACAATTTCTATTTGTTAGACGTCGATACTGTCATAATATTGGTTGCACTTCTATTTCATATATTTAATCTAATAACATGCATTTGACAGCTAAAACGAAGCAGCCGAACGCTCTCGTGCACTATTTTAAACAATTATAAATATACGATTCACAATTATTTATTAGTTATCACGAGGCTGTCAATGCATGAGAAATATATATATATATGAAGAAATTTATATATGATGGATGAATGAATCCTCAACTAAATATTTAGTGAGTTGACTGTTACATTAGACGTGTTAGCGTCTAACCCCACAGGGGAACTTTTATCGACAGTTCAACTTAATGAAAGAACCGAGCGATGTCAAGAGTAAGGTTTATAAGGACAAATAACGTGATAATGAGGTCAAAAACAAGGACAGTCGGTCGTCTGGCCACCGAAGTGTAAACAATACGACTCCATAAAACAAGTGTTTGCATCAATTCTTTGTCCTTTTTTGTTACTATTTTGGTGGTCATTTGGTAGGAGACACAGAAATAATCACAAGGTACAGATAAAACAGAAGAAAACACATATATTGAATTAATGTGACCTTTCAGAATTCAAGAACAGAAGAAAACAGACATCTAGTATCGGAAAATTGCCAGCCTGCAGTGTCAAGAAAGAAATGAAAAACAACTGTAGTAAATTATTAATGGAAACCGAGCTACGATTGCTACATTGTTAGGTATATCCGATTCTTACATATAGCAGTGAATGTTGGATAATTTCACTAACTTTGGAAAGGAGACTACAAGCTATTGAGATGTGGTTAAGAAGAATGTTGAGGATATCATGGGCGTATCACGTGACGAATGAGGATGTACTGAGAAGAGCTGTACCACACAGAGATATGATGATAACAATTTGAAGAAGACAACTCCAGTTCCCAGGTAACGTAATGAGAAAAAAAAAAACAAGAAAAATTTAACAGTAACAGGGAAAAGTTGAAGGAAAACGAAGTAGATGTAAGCCAAAACTGATTTACATCAGTAGTCTCAATAAATGGATGAACGTGAGTGAAGCGGAAGTGTTGAAAGCAACGAAAGGATATGAATCTGTGAGAGGCGATGATCGCAAACACTCTGCGTGGACGTTGTATTCAGAGAGAGAGAGAGAGAGAAGTGATTATCCAGCATTTAACATAAAATAGACACACATCTAGTAACTAAAATGGTCACAATAATTTTAAAAATTGTGTTTTTCATACTTTTTTACGTCATAATGTAAGTTTAACATGATGATGTGATGTCGTTGTTGTATATAATTCTATTTGTTCATCATTTTAAAACGTTGTGTTTTTCATACTTTTTACGTCATAATGTAAGTTTAACATGATGATGTGATGTCGTTGTTGTATATAATTATATTTGTTCATAATGTCAAGGCTTTATCTCAACTGCTTTGTATTGTTCGACCTACGAAAATTGCTCTTTGTAATTGAGTAATTGAGATGGTGGGATGAACACAAATGATAACTACGAACTATTAATAACCTCTGCTTAATTGTAAGTTAACATTCTAAATAAAAATAGAATAACTGACAATAGTTACGTTTATTTTGTAGTGTTTGTTAACGAGGTATGTAAATTTAGTATCAATTACTTTCTAGAGTGTAATTTGATAAAAATAATCTTTAGAGTGAAAAACACGATGCATAAATTCACGGTACTATATACACCGTATAAAACCATTTATAATCGGTATTATATGAACCATAAAAACCAGTTGCAGTGCCTTTAATTTTATTTATTAGCTGAGATTGGATTAAACCATTGTTGAATTATAGTACTTTAATTGTATTTATTAGATGAGTTTGGATGAAACCATTGTTGAATTATAGTACTTTAATTGTATTTATTAGATGAGTTTGGATG